TCCAGTTTTGTTCACCACATTATAAAAAAGTTGTTGAGGCTCTAGAAAAAGTACAGAGAAGAGCAACCAGGATGATTAGGGGACTGGAGACTAAAACATATGAAGAACGGTTTCAGGAACTGGGCATGGCTAATCTAGTGAAGAGAAGGACCGGGGAGACATGATAGCAGTCTTCCAATATTTGAGGGGCTGCCACAGGGAGGAAGGGGTCAAGCTATTTTCTAAAGCGCCTGTAGGCCAGACAAGGAATAATGGATGGAAACTGAACAAGGAGAGATTTAACCTGGCAATAAGGAGAAGCTTTCTGACAGTGGGAACAATAAACCAATGGAACAGCTTGCCCTCGGAAGTTGTGGGAGCGGCATCAGTTGAGACTTTCAAGAAGAGATTGGACTGCCATTTGTCAGAAATGGTGTAGGGTCTCCCGCAATTTGGTGAAGGCAAGTTGTTCCATTGGTTGATTGCTCTCACTGTCAGAAAGTTTCTCCTTATTTCCAGGTTAAATCTCCCCTTGTTAAGTTTCCATTCATTATTCCTTGTCTGGCCTTCAGGTGCCTTGGAAAATAGCTTGACTCCTTCCTCTCTGTGGAAGCCCCTCAAATATTGGAAGACTGCTATCATGTCTCCCCTGGTCCTTTTCTTCCCTAGACTAGCCAAGCCCAGTTCCTGTAACCGTTCTTCATATGTTTTAGTCTCCAGTTCCCTAATCATCCTGGTTGCTCTTTTCTGCACTTTTTCTAGAGTCTCAACATACTTTTATAGTGTGGATGCAGTATTCTAGGTATGGTCCTCCTAACTACAGGGCATTTCCTAAGTTAGATACATATATATGTCTAAATGCTATTGCAGATATTTCTATTCGCCATTGAGGCTACTTTATCATGCTGTTGTTTATAGTCAATAGCAATAGCACTTAGACTTATATATTGCTTTGTAGTGTTTTACAGCCCTCTCTAGGTGTCAGCATGTTGCCCCCAGCAATCTGAGTCCTCATTTTACTGACTTCGGAAGGATGGAAAGCTGAGTCAAGTCAGGATTGAACTAGCAGTGGGCAGAGTCAGCCTGCAATGCTGCATTCCTATCACTGCACTACCACAGCTCTACATCTTTGTGCTCTTGTAGCAGCTTACTAAATGGCCCGCTGTTTCTTCAGCTTCTTTGTATAGGTGGCATTTGCTATTTCTTTAATTTAGTTTAATTTAGTTTATTGTCATTGCACAACAAAATTAAATGCTATCTTCGGTGTACATTATAACTATAAAAAATAAAACACAAACATCCTTCACATTCTATACAATTGAATTGAAAACCTGACATTGCATTAATATTGCACTATACAGTAAAATTCAATATAGGTACTGCCCTGGGATAAAAACTGTTTTTCAGCCTATTTGTCCTCGTTTTTATTATCCTTTACCGTCTGCCGGATGGCAATAGTTAAAAAAAAAATGGTTGCCCTGGATGAGAGGGATCTTTGAGAATGTTTTGAACTTTGTTGTGGTCTTCTCAATTCTGGCTTTGTTCAGTATGCATTTATCCTTAAGGCTTGGTCTTATAGATACAGAATTTGCCCCTCTGTCTCTTCATCTCTCTTCTTCATAGCCATTGCCAGATCTTTTTGCTATTTGTTTTGCCATATAGTATTGTCCCTTGCCATGCATCTTAATTTGATCTTTCTGGTAATCCAGTATGATCTCTCAATAAGCCTTCACGGTGTACTAGCTTCAAGTGCATCTTCTTCATAATCCTTCAAGTACTTTTCCAAAGCTGTTTTTTTCTTCTTCCTCAATTCCCTGGAGGATTATGATTATTACTATTTAAAAAGAGTACGGAGTCCTCTGACAAACACTTTTTTGTAATATACCAGTGGGGTTTCTTGGAAAACAGCTGATTCTTTGTGGTTTGCACCTTGGTGTGCTTTGTAATCTCAAACATCATAGATGGCCTCAAGCAGAGTTATGGAGAGTGCAATATAAACCCCATATAGAGACCAAAAGAGTTACACCTGTCAAGCTTTTGAGAGTAAACTTGCTTGAATAAGAAAGAAGTTCTCATGTAAATGGACTTGGAGAGAAGCGGGGGGAGGGGAGGGGAGGAGAAGAGAAGAGATAGAAGTAACTTTATCTAGAAATGGAGAATTTAAGCAGAACAAATTGAGAGGAATTGTCTGATCATTTGTTACAAAAGCATTAGGCTATGAATAGATTTGCAGAATAAAGCTCTATAATTCTTAACCGTCTCATACATTTTCAATTTACAGCTGTAAAGGAGTGTCATTCATTTAAATAAAATACTTTTTGTTTGCAAATTATAGGTGTGGGGATTTAATCCAGCTATGCATTTATCTTTTAGCAAAAAAGAAAAAAACCTTGTAGGGCTGCCCAGCACATATTAGAGATTATAAAGTGTTGCAGTATAAAACGGAGTCATCAAAGTTTCTGTTGAAATACAGAATAAAAAGGCAAGACAATTGCCAAATTTAAACATTCTGGAGAAGTTAATACAGCTGACTTTGAAATGGGTATTGATTTAGTGTATCAAGTTTTTACTGGAGTAATAAGGTGGTCCTACGTTCATATAATGAACTGATAAGAATGTTATGGTTCTGAATTATCCTGGATTATGGATTTTTGCTCTATTTATTCCACAGGGAAGGAAATCAAGAAACCCTAGGCAGCAAACATTACTGCATGTGTATGTCATACCAAATGAAAAACACAGGAAGATGATAAGATGTGCAAATGAATAAAAGTTGGCAGGGCTGAATCCCAATAGGAACAGCAAACTTGTTCTGGATCAGTGTCAAAAATGTCTGATACTCCAATAATATGGAAAGGGATCAACTATGCATCATCTTTATGCAAGCTATGAAGATACACCTAAACTTTGCTAGTCTATACAACTACAACTGATGTTTTAAGGGAATATTTTAGCAGTACAAATAGTCCTCAATTTACAACAGTTCATTTAGTGATCGTTCAAAGTTACAGCAGCACTGAAAAAAAGGACTCATGACCATTTTTCACACTTAAGACCATTGCAACTTCCCCACGGTTATGTGATCAAAATTCAGACACTCGACAACTGATTCATATTTATGATGATGTCACTAACTTAACACCTGCAGTGATTCCCATAACAACTGTGGCAAGAGAAGTCATAGAATGGGGCAAAATTCACTTAACAACAGAAATTTAGGGGCTCCATTGTGGCCATAATTCGAGGACTGCCTATAATGCTTGAAATTGCCTTGCTGGAGGCTGTTTTGCAAACAGAGCTTAGGTCTTTGGGATTTGAAGTCTGTTTCTTCACACTGCCAAAGGAGTTCAGTTGCCTTCTAGGTGCAGAAGGGAACTGCCCCAACAGGCTGCAGGAATGGAGTTTGTGTCTTTGAGATTTGAGGTCAGTTTCTGCACCTCATTAGAGGAATTTGATGCCCGGAAAAGAACTATTCCAGCTGGCTGCAGGAATGGAACTCAGATCTTTTGGGATCTGAACTCTGTTTCTTCAACCCCGTGGAAAAAAATCAGCAGCCCACCTGCGCAGAAGGGAATTTCATGGAAGACAGACCTCTTGGAAGATGGCAACAGTTTTCAACTTTTCTTGCCAGCTATCCCATTGACTTTCTGGGGAAGCCAGAAGAGAAGACTGTGAATGGTGATTAGAGAGTCAGTTTGGTCTAGTGATTAAGGCACCAGGCTAGAAAGCAAGAAACCACGAGTTCAAGTCCTGCCTTAGCCATGAAAGCCCACTGGGTATTGTTGGGCCAGCCATTCTCTTTCACCTGACCTTACTGGGTTGTTGTGGGGAAAATAAGAGGAGGAAATGTGTTGGATGTTTTCTGCCTTGAGTTATTTGTAAGAATAATAAAGGTGGGATACAAATAAACAATAAAAAATAAAATCATGCTTAGCAATCAAAGTCCGAACAGATTGCCAAGCACCCAGGTAACAATCATATGGTCACAGAGGGGCAGTACAATGTTTTACAATGGCCAGAATACTCTTTCTCAAGCCATTGTAATGTTGAACGGTCATTAAACAATTGGTTGTAAGTTGAGGTCCACTGATGATTGCTTTTTGATCTGTTTAAATGGAAAGGAAGGATTCAAATTGGGTCCAACAGATATAATTGGTAATATTTATGTAGAGATTCTCAGTCCTGGTTATCCCAAAGGTGCTCTTTCAAGAGACAACTGGATGTTCTTGTTTTTTCTTTGAAGACATTTCGCTTTTCATCCAAGATGCTTCTTCAGCACTGACTGGATGGCTATTTAGCTATGCAATTTGGGATGAACACCCTTCGAATGGTGTGGGAGTATGAATGGATTTCCAGAGATAAAATTGCAGACTACAGGAACCATTAGCACTACTCAGGTGATGCTGAGGACACAGATAAACCTTCAGGTGGCCTCAATGACTCTCTAAAAGAATGCAAATGATCAGCTGTCTTCAAGGAATATAAATCCTTCCCTTCCGCACCATCCGGTCAGAGCTGAAGAAGCTTCTTGGATGGGAAGTCAAATGTCTTCAAAGAAAAAACAAGAAAGTCCAGTCGCCTCCTGAAAAAGAACCTTTGGGATAATATTTATGTTGTTATTTCTGATAACTCTTATTGAACTCTAATTGATTAATATAGAAAGATGAGGTTTTAGAGTTGGGCTTATAGAGAATGAGGTGAGATATGAAATGAAAAGGGGGATATGGTTGTATTTTAAGAGACAAGTTAGTGCTGATTATAACTGCTGGGAAGGGAGCTTCTTCTATTTTTCTTTCTTTCTTTTCTTCTTTCCTTTTTCTGTGCTTTTTAATTTTTTTAAAATAAATGTATTTTTGTATTATCTAGTTAGTACTATCAAGTTTTATTTGTATAACACAATTTTTAATAAAGTTATTTTTTAAAAAAAAACCACAGCCACGAGATCAGCATCAATGTTTATATTTCAACTGGGTTGCGCAATTATTTATGCTGATCTTGTCTTCTGTGATTAGTATACTCACCCCTAACAAGAAGTTCTGCCTCATCTGATATGCTGTCTGCTGTAGATTGCACCCTGCAGCCATATCTTCCAGCATGCATCAGAAGGATGTTCCTGATCATTAAATCTGCAGAAGATGCTTGCTGTGGGGAAAAAAAAATAAGCAATACAATAGCATCTGCTCAAACACATTACGGATATATATGTGCAAAAATGGAAGACCTGCTTCCTTTGAGTATTTGGGAGGGGCAACATAATCCTCATAGTAATCTATCCCCTCCAGCATTCTCAGTTACAGGTTTGTAACTGGTCGCTTAGCCCCCATTCAAAGTTATCTCTTTCCATTTTTAATTTTTTTTATTGTATTAAAAAGAAAAAAATAAATTGAGGAAAGGGAAGGGGATGTGGAAAAGGGGATGTGAAATACAAGGGGGAAGAGAAAAAGAAAGAAAATAAGGCATTGACTTCCAACTCTTCCTAGCACAGTACAAGATAAATACATTTCAACCTCAACTTTTTGCTTGTACACATTAGTATATAACTAGCCATTTCTAGAACATCAAATCTTTCTAATCAACAAAACCAAAATCAAAGTTTCATTTTTTTCCCTTCATAAGCACAAATTCCAGAAGTGATAGCCAAATAAGAACATATTTTCCTCTTTAAATAAAGTATTCCATTTAACCTTTCTGGCTTTATCTTCCTTGCTATGGAAATAGTACGTGTTTCTATTTACACCTAGTTATCTTTGTGAACTGTCATCATTTTTATTTACAAAATTTATTGTATTCTTTCAAATTCTTTGGCCTTACTGAAGAGTGTGGGGGGTAGCACCCATTCAAAGTTACGATGAAGATATCCAGGGGTACTGAAACAGAGGTGGTATTCAGCTGGTTCTGACCGGTTCTGGAGAACCGGTAGTGGAAATTTTGAGTAGTTCAGAGAACCGGCAAACACCACCTCTGATTGGCCCCGCCCCCATCTATTCTCTGCCTCATGAGTCCCAGCTAATCAGCTGGGTTTTCTTTTGCTGCCTTGCACAGGAGAACGGAGCTGGAAAGCAGGTTAGTGGGGTGGGGAGGGAATGGGGATTTTACAGTATCCTTCCCCTGCCATGCCCACCAAGCCACACCCAGCATGCCATGCCACATCCACCAATCCATGCCCACAGAACTGGTAGTATAATTTTTTGAATTCCACCACTGTAACAAAGGATTCCAAATTTCTGATGGATGCTCCCCTCTTATACTCACATGAACACATTTTGGGTGCTTGAAACTGACCTGCAGTTATGGCTGCTTGCAGTGTCCCAGGGTCACATGACTGTTTTACATTATTTTTCATGAATGAAGGGAAATATATGTGTCCCAGGATAATGTTGCCATTATAAGATCCCATGTTGGATCCTGCTACAATGTTTTTGCCCCAAACCAGCATTTATTTAAGTTTTTTTTGGTCAAATAACAATTAATTTGCTTAATGTCCATAACCTTGACTTAAAAATTGCCCTAAAAAAGGGTCAGGTTGGCCCTGTTTTGCAATCATCAGGACTTATGACCGTAATGAGCAGGCTCTGTTATGGTTGTAAGTTGAGAACAATCTGCAATATATCTGCTGTACATGGCAATAAGGATTTATATTGAGATGTGCAGATTCCTTAGGTCTAGGCTGGAACCATTGTGTGATGCAGCTTTTGTAAAAAAAAAAAAAAATACTGGAGCACCTCCCAGATATATTTGACTGTGGCTTGCTTCTTTGTTGGTTTTATTGTATTTTTGTAGAATTTTATTGATATAATTTTATCCTTTTAATATTTAATATTGTAAGCCTCCCTGTGGTAAGATGGGAGACCAAAAAGTTTAATAAACTGTGATATTTTTTTTTAGACAATGACTTTGACTCTTCCTCAGAGGCCGGCATGAGGGACGATGAACTCATTCCTGGCATGTCAGTAACTGGGTTAATTAATCACTCTGAACTGCTGGCTGAAACTGCTTTGGCTGGAGACAGTTTGCAGGTCAGTGAAGAAGAGGAAGAGGAGCTGCATTCTATAGTGGATCTGAGAGCACTCAGGGGAGAGAAAAAGCAAAAGCAAAGGAGATCTGCCTTGATGGGCTGCACTGGAAAGGTATTTATCATGGCAGGCAGAGGGAGGCATTGCTGGGAACTAGGTGTTTTGTTTATGGCTGTGTGGGTTTTTGTGCCTCCTGCTTGACTTTGTGCCTTGGAAAATCTGAACTTCTCTTGCCAAGTGAGCTCTCATGGATGTAGTTTCAGTTTTGCCTGGTGGATTTATGTTTGTTTGGTGAACTTACTTGTTGGAGTGACTTTCTATTGTTTTATGGACTATTGGCCTGTTGCCTTGTGGACTAATCTTGGCCTGCTTATGGCTGGCTTTATTTGGGTCACTTCTGAGGCTGGGTGAAGGGAACTGCTAGGGAATATTAATAAACTCTCTAAAAAACACACGTGTGTGTGAGTGAGTGTTTGCACATAAACAAACAAAAATTGAGTCCTGATATTTGGACTAAAAATACCAAGTGCAGATCTGGGACCATTGCATGTACAACACATGTATGGAAGTACTGCTGTAGGGATAAACCCAGAAACATTTGTGACGGCATTTCAAAGTATTCTGTAGCCTACTATCCAACAGTCATTAACATCTCCATTCCACTGTTGTTAACAAATACTTCCCAATCTTTATGCATCCATTACACCATGTCTCTGTCTCATACAGAGGTTTTACAGGGCAGTGATATCACAGCCATTTGCAGCTGCTTCTAATATTTTGTTAGACCCTTAGGAGAGATTTGAACTTAGGTCTTTAAAATCCGCTCAGATGTACATTTTATAGGTCAGCAGTCTGATGTAAGTACTGAAGATAAATAGATGAGTTGTATTCCAGAATAATTCTTGTGTTGGGCACTGTATGTAGCTTTACGCTGTGTAGCTACTCATGGTTCAATGATTGTGTTAATATCCAGGCTCCCAGCTCCCCTGCAACCATAGATTCTTTTACACATCTCTCATTTTACAAGAAGAAATAATAATGAGGAGAGGAGGATGAGAAGTATTAGATAAAGGTTGAAGAATCACTTTTGTATTTCCAAAACGACAGTATTTTTCCTAGGACAAATCTTCCAGATAAAGTCCTAAGGAAAAAGTAGGTGGAATCAAATAACTTTATCTTTTTTTCTACCTCACCCAAGATCTGTCTCACAATAAAGAACTAAGCTAGAATTCATCAACACTATGCCCAAGAATTAAACAACAATAAAATGTGATGTGTTAACTGATTCTACTGTCTGCATCAGACTTAATTCTGTTTTCTGAAAACCACTGTCTTTACCTTCTGCTGTTCATTTTTCCTGACTACAATACTGGTAGTCCTCGAATTCTGTCTATAATGGAGTCTGCCCATCAAGTTCCTAAGTCATGAAGGTCATAAAATGGGTTGGTCATGTGACCAAGACAATTTTATGACCTTTTTTGTAATACTCATTAAGTGAATCACTGTGTTCATTAGGCAAATCCACAGTTTTTAAATGAATTCCACTGTTGTTAAATTAACTAATGGTATGCTGTGAATGCGGTTTGGCTGAAGGCCTAGAGGTGGAGCTCTCGCCTCACAATCAGGAGGCTGTGAGTTCGATCCTAGGTAGAGGCTAATCTTTGGAATAGACTCTCCTGCTTGAGCAGGGGGTTGGACTAGATGACCTCCAAGGTCCCTTCCAACGCTGTTATTCTATGACATCCAGAAGTGCTGGTGTTCAGCAAAACTGAGATAAAATGTGGTCACATGACCACAGGATGCTACAAATGACTGTAAATGTGATTGTGTTGCCAAGTGCCTGAAGTTCAGTCACATGACCAAAGCAGAATGGGATGTCTGCCGGAACCTCGAATCTGGGCTATAATAAGAAGTCCCATGGTAGATCTGTTGTACCTTTGAACAGTTGCTAAGCAACTGGTTGTTGTAAGTCAAAGACTACCTACCGGTAACATTGTTCAATCAATTGATCAAAATAAAGCTGGAAGGGACCTTGGAGGTCTTCTAGTCCAACCCCCTGCTAAAGCAGAAGACCCTGTACCATTTCAGATAGATGTCTGTCCTGTCTTTTCTTAAAAACCTCCAGTGATGAAGCTCTCACAATTTCTGAAGGCAAGCTATTCCACTGGTTAATTGTCCTCACTGTTCGGCAGTTTCTCCTTAATTCCAGGTTGCTTCTCTCTGTGATTAGTTTCCATCCATTGTTTCTTACCTTGCCTTCTGGTGCTTTAGAAAATAAGTTGATCCCCTCTTCTTTATGGTGGCAGCTCCTCAAATACTGAAATACTACTATCATGTCCTCCCTAGTCCTTCTTTTCTCTAGACTAGCCATACCCAATTCCTGCAACCATTCTTCATAGAATGGTTGAGAATCTTCCCTCCCTTCTCTAGACTTGCCAAGAATAATATTCCATGCATTGGATGATGCAGTTAACAATACCAATTATACAAAAGTTTTTAGTATAAAAGTGGTTAGCAAAGTTTTGCATTGTTTTTAAACTGTCTGTATTTGACAGCTATAAACATTGTCGAATTGAACCAATGATCATTAACTGCAAATTCATGTAGATAATGTAATTTCAAACAAGAATTCAGATGTAAATATATACAGAAATTAGCAATAAGTGTCACACTAGATACAGAAATGGGAGAATGCAATGAAATTATTTTCAGATAGCATCTTCAGAGTGACCAATTTGAACACAGCACAACTTGCTCAGTTTTGCATTAAAATTCTGTTGCACTGCTAGATTTTTTTTTTTTAATATTCACGGCTGAATTTGTTTCTCGGTTTATCATAAAAGAATGCTGCTTTAAAAATATGTAAAAACTGAGTCAGGATAACACTGTGCTTGCTTGCTTACTTTTTAAAAATGTATAGTGGCAGGTGATAAATTAATCCTAAATTGCTATTGCAGTTCTTAAGACTGCTGTGCTGTACTGAATGACAATTGCCTATTGTTCCTTTTTAGCATTTAAGAAAAAATTGTTGAGAATTCTGCTGGCCTTTTTGCTGAATTTCATCTTGATTTATATAATAGTCACACAATATCATTATGGCATTGGAAGAGTCTTAATGTTTTCAGCTTT